AGTGGGCCATGTCTGTGGGGTTCTGTGCCCTCGGACTCGGAATCACTGAATGGTTCTGTTCCCTGCAACACTTTTTTTCTCAGTTGAGCTTACACAGTCATGCCAGAAATTAGAGGGAGGGTTGCTGCTTGCTGCATGGCTTCTGACTTCACTTACAAACAAGCTAATAGAAGTTACAGGAAACAGGTCTGTTGTAAAATGAAAGGCCTTTTTAAGAAGCACGTGGTTCCTGCCTTTCCATGTAAGCTCTCCTGGCTCAGTTTCCCTTATGTAACAATACCCTCAGATCCTACCTTTCCTGGGTCAACCCTATGCTCATTATGGCCCTGTCTTAGCCCTGGTCCTTAAATCCCCTTGAGTGAAAAATACGATAAAAAAGGAAGGGGCATTAGCTAGCTTAGGAAGGTGAATGGTGAGCGTGTTGCCATCATACCAAGATGCTGACAGCACTGGGCAGCTGTATAATTCCTAGAAAAGTTTTGTCAAGCTGGAGTAATGCTGAGTACTATTAAGTAATTTAAGACTTGCTTACCCAAACTAAATACATCTTAAAGAGACCAACACTACTGTGTGTGTCATTTTGACCAGTGAGAATCAGCTTGAGAGAATTATACCAAGTTATCCCATTTATCTTTTTACCGAGATTTGTGACTGGAAATATAAAGGGACACATGGCTTCTGTACCATTTGGGCATGTCCCCCCAAATATGTTTGACATTTCTGTCTACTTCAGCTGAGCAGTGTGCCACTGGAGATCAGCTGAGGATCTGGCATGATGTTACTTTGGTTGTTGATCTGTTAATGCAAAATCATGTTGCAAAAGCTAAAATGTTAGGGTTGCTACTAAAGATACTGTGCTTTGTTTTTGTTCAGTACGTGGTTACCTGCCAGGAAGCCAAGAGATGAAGGGGAACTTGATGGATAGCACTGCAGAGCAGGATCTAATTCGAGAGCTTAGTCAAAAGAAACAAAACCTACTGTTGGAATTACGAAACTACGAGGAAAACTCAAAGGTACTTCCCAAAACAAGATGAAAGGCCTGGCCCCAGCTTCAGAGCCAGGGAATTCAGCATAACTCTATAAAAGTCATTAGTATTTTGCTGGTATAAAACTAGAGATGAAATGGGTGTCTTGATACTGTCAGAAGAGGTAGAATGCATTGATAATATAAAACAGTTGCCCCAACTTCTTCACCAGACCTGGTTGTTGTGTTAGTAGGAACCAGTTCTTACTTTACTAAAGCCTTCCCTACTTTTTTCATCTGCTTAATGATGTGGCTCTCCTGACATGGAAAATGGAGCTAGATCTTGTTCTGGCGTGTGCATCAGCAGTTGGATGGATAACTGGGTTCTGACTGTAGAATCTTTATAGTTGTTGCTGCACAAGCCAGAAAAAGCTCCACAGGTGATTTTGTGAGAAACTGAGAAATAATTGGATGAGATTGGGAGCAGAGGGCACCCCCTAGCTCAGGGGTGGGCAAAATATGGCCCACGAGGGCATTCTATCTGGCCTGCAGGGCCCCTAAAAAATGTAGAAAATTAATATTTCTCTGCCCTTGGTTCCTGTCAAAAATGACAGGAACCAAGGGCAGTAGGACCCAGGGGGAGCCTGGCGGGTTACCACAACAGCAGGGCCTGCCTGGCCCCGCCCTCCCAGGTGGAAGCCCCAGCAGGGGCTTCTGACCTGGGAGCAGGTGCCTGCCAGGAACCCAGGAACCTTGGGGAGGGGGAGAGGGGGG